AGCTGCTGCGCGGGTGTCGATGGTGTGTCGTCAGTGAAGATCGGTGCCGTTGAAGGACCAGCGATTGGTGTTGATGTTGCCGCTGCTACCGATGTTGTCTCTGCTGCTGCTGATGTCGTTTCTGCTGCTGCCGATGTTGTCTTTGCTGCTCCCGATGTTGTCTCTGCTGCTCCCGATGTTGTCTCTGCCGAATGTTGAATTGTCGCTAACGCTCTTGTTCTTTCTGCTTCAGGGATGGTGTGCGAGTACCAGAATCCTTCAGGGCTGAAGTCTGGGTCGAGATCTGGTGGGTGCGTCCAAGATGTGAAGGTGACGATTCCGTCGCTGTCGGCGGTGCCAAGGTCTGGAACGAAGTCAAGAACGAAGACGTTGTTCTTCAGAACTGCCTTCCCGATGTAAAGTCCTCCTCTTCCGTGATATAGCTTGAATTCTTGGGTGGTGTTGTCCGCTTCAAGGTGAATGCCTTTTGCCATCAGCTGGCTGACGCTTAGTAGGTTGTAGCCGAGTCCCTCCGCGATTAGTACCTTTGACATCTGCAGTATAACGTTTGTTTCCCTTGACTGAAGTTGAACTACGCCTTGTCGTCGTGTGCGCAGGTTCTGATTGTTGGCGACTGTAATGACAACTTCGCGTTGAAGTTGGTGTTCTCGTTGAACGAAGCATCCCGAGGAGCACATGTGCTGTCCACAGCAACTGTCCAAGAACCAAGTGTCTGTCCCGGATGGCTCGCTTTGGGCGATGGCTGCGTATGTCGGGTTCGGCTCCAGTGTCTCGCGACGAGCAGTGGATTCTTCAAGTTGTTCTTCTGGTGAGTAGTACGGTGGTGATTCAGTGATGCAGGAGTCTGACAATCTTGCCATGCAGCTGATGATATTTCTTGCTCCTTGTGCAGATTGTGTCGTTGAAGACTGCGACTGGCTTGTGGGGTTCGCCTGCGTTGATGCCACTTGGCTGCTTGAAGGTCGAAGTTGTTGTTGCGGTGGATTTGACTGTTGTCGATTCGGGCAGTGTGTGTGTGGATGTCTTGACGTTTTGCAGATGTTGCAGAATGGAGGTACGGGCTTTGGCTGTTTTCGGTTGTTGTTGTTGTTGTAGCATCGCTGAGTGTGAAAGGCGAATTCCGGTGCTGATGTCTTCCTCTTGTGTCTTTCTTCTTGCAGGTCCATATCTTGTTGCTCGGCATGAATTTCGGCGCAGAGTGCTGCTTCGGAGATCTTCCCATGAGCTCGGAGAATAGCTCGAATGGAGCGCCAATGAGGACCAAGTCCAGTGATGACGACCGTGACGAAGGCTTCTTCGGAAATTGAACCTCCACATCGAAGGAGTTTGTCGCGTAGTTCGCGACAGCGACTGATATACGCCATCCCTTTTTCGCCTGGTTTCATCTCGACTGTTGTCAGTTGCGCCATCAATCGACTCTGATTTACGCTGTCTGTTGCTTGATACAGGCTCTTCAAGTGGCTGTATGCGAGTTCGGCGGAGTTGCCGTATCCCCGGTAAGACCGTATATTCTGCTGCTGAGTCGGGGTGATATTCCTAAGTAGGATTGTGTACGCCATCATTGACTGATAGGTGTACTGCTGCTTCTCGTACTGTGTGCCGTTTGTTGGGTATGGCAGGGATCCGTCGAAGAAACCGAGGATTTGCGCGCCTTCCATCATCAACTCGATCTCGAATGACCAGGTAAAGAAGTCCTTTCCGTCGAAAGGTCTTGACGTCTGCAGCTTCAGTACGTGCGCGAACTGCGATTGAACTTGTAGCGCGTCCAGTGTCTTCTCTTGTCCAGGTGCAGGTTGTGGCATGAAGCTGACGGAGCCGCGCTGGGGCTCGTATGGAGCAAAGGTAGGTTGTTGCTGTTGATTTCCACGTGCGTAGGATGAACCATCAAGGCTCATTGGAGTCACATCGTTGTTGTTGTTGCTGTTGTGTGACTGCGCAGGTACCGATTGCTGGTGTTGCTCGTAGAAGGACATGAAGGAGAAAAAAATTTCCATCATGCTCTGGTCGAGGCCTGCAGGATGATTTGCTGGAGTCTCAGTAGATGTTGCCCTGGGTCTTGTTGCTGTACCTTCTTCTGTCTGTAGGCCAGAGGCAGGGGGTGGAGTATAAGGAAAAATGGCGCGAAGCCATGGACAAGGAGCTGAAGGCACTGGAGGAACGCAACACGTGGAAAGTAGTTCCTATCGGCGTGACACGGAACAAAACAGTACTCACCGGGAAGTGGGTCTTCCGTGTGAAGACAAAGGCTGACGGCACCATCGACAAGTTTAAAGCTCGCTGGGTCGTACGCGGCTTCGACCAAGAACACGGACGCGACTTCACCGAGACATTCGCCCCGGTTAGCCGACACACCTCGCTCCTTCTCGCGATCGCCGCCATGAAGAAGAAAAGGCTACGACAAATCGACGTTGCAAATGCATTTCTCTACGCACCTGTTGACGCAGAAATCTTCGTCGAGTTACCGCACGGCTCCAACGGAGATCCTAATCAAGTCTGTCAACTGCTGAAGTCGCTCTACGGCATCAAGCAAGCTCCGCGGCTATGGCAACAATACCTGCATGCTCGCCTCATTCGCATCGGCTTCAAACAACTGCCGCATGATCAGGGCATGTACCGGCTCACGAAGAACACCGACTACATCCTGTTAATCGTCTACGTAGACGATCTACTCTACATCGGCTCGACTGACGGCATCACAAGCTGGTTTGAAGGGGAGCTACAGAAGGACCTCACGCTCACAGTCTCATCTACCGTCACACAGTATCTCGGCCTCAACATACGAGAAGAAGAGGACGCGATCTACCTCAACGCCGCGAAGTATGCCGACACCATCGCCAAGCGCTTCGCACTCACACCGACCGCCATCTCCACACCGTACCGCTACACAACAGGAAGCAGCAAAGGAAGCACCGCTCTACTTAAGCCCGCCGGCATACGCGACTACCAAAGGAAACTGGGCTGCCTCCTCTTCGCAGCCGTCACCTGCCGCCCGGACCTATCGTACTCTGCAAGTCAACTCGCCACCTACCTCAAGAAGCCCGAAGCGGAACATCTGGCTGAGCTCGACCGCGCTCTTCACTATCTCGTCAGCACTCCGACGATCGGCCTAACTTACTACAAGAACGCAACTACACCGCCTAAATTAATCGGCTGCGTCGACGCCGATCACGCTGGCGACTCCGATAACAGGCGTTCTCGCACCGGCTACATCTACCGCCTCGAACCTATCGGACCTATCTCTTGGCAGTCGAGCAAGCAGGAATTAATCGCCCTCTCGTCAGCTGAAGCAGAATATATTGCACTCTGTTCAGCCACCAAGGAAGGACTTTACCTTCGCGAACTGCTGGAAGAAGCGAAGCTGGCCCAGTTACCCAGCTTCACTCTGTTCTGCGACAACCAGTCGGCAATCCGCATTGCCAACAAGAACGGCTTCGCGAACAGGACGAAACACATCGCCTTGCGATATTTCTTCGTGAAGGACGAGATCGAGAAAGGGAGGCTTGAGCTGTCATACTGCCCCACGTCCGAGATGGCAGCTGACTACCTGACCAAGAAGCTCGGAAAGCAGAAGTTCGAGTACTGCATGCTGCTGACTGGACAGAGCCACGTCACTAGGAGCGACACTCCAGAAGCGAAGGGGAGTGTTGGAAACAATCGATCTTAAACGCCTCTGTCGTGTCGAAACACCGAGACACAAGTGAAGCAAGATATATCGGAGCACCCGCGAGTCAACCCTCGGAGGTTGAAGTAACCACTGGAGGTTATGCGAAAGTCAAAGGTCAGCGACCTTTGACCTGACAAGTACAGCGCGACAGCAAGGACACACAACTGACTCGTTACAGAGCAGTTGCCCGAGTCGTCACTGTATCGAACCGCAACAGCAACAGTAAAGTAGTTATAACTGTATCTCTCCGTATTCCTTGTACTCTTATATAATCCTGTATCTCCTTGCTTTAATCAATCTACTTTGCCCTCACATACTAGCGCAAGGTGGTTCACAAATTCTTCACTAAACGCTTCCGCTATTACAATAAGTTCCACTCAGAGTTCACCCCTGCAAAGATCCTAAAGGGCTTTTCTCAGCCCAACACAAGGTTCCTACCACAAGATTTCCGCTACCAAAACTCACTAAGGCAGACATAGTATATCCAAGATCCCCACTCTAACACGGTTGGCATCACTAGACCACTTTGAATTCCTCGCCCAGGTGTTTCTTGCATTCAATCACTTCGCAATCGAATCATCGGGCGTCAAGGGGTGTGCACTAGTAATGTCCCCCAAATTAGGCCTTAACAAATGTGTGTCTAAGCTTTCATATATTGCTGATTAGATATCATGTTTCAATATGTTCCATGCACCACCTCATCTGGGCGCACTTTGCTGCAGAAAAGCCATGGTGATACTCACTGGATGAAAGCGTGTATCCGAACGTAGCTTGCAGCTGATTGGCTAAGCCGAAGCAGAGTTCAAGAATCAAGGAACAAGCGAGAGGTTTGGCTGGGAGAGGAGAGGAGAGCATTCAAGCTTGTAACGAACGGCGGCCGAAGGCGCTTCCTTCCCTCCCACGCTCCAACAATGCGAGCTTGCCAAGTTGCCAGTTGACTTGAGTGACACCCACCGCCCGTAGCCCTGACCTGAGCTGAGCCCCGCCCCGACTCCCTCCCACCCATTTGCTCGCACCCTTCAAGCATTGCCTCTCGCACGCCTCCCACAGCTGAAGCACGCGCCACTTGGCTTCAGCACACAGAAGCTCACCCCGGTGTTATCTCCGCTCTTCGCGGGGGGGCGACATAGAAGCTCCCGCAGCATGCGCTGTTTATAGCTCTCCGCGCACGCGCGCTGGACCGTAATTACTAGAAGGCGCGGCGTGCAGGCATCACGATGACCAGCACGTTCGCCGAGCCGCAGTACTCACCTTGAGTCGACTCAAAATTCAACTCGTTACAAGCGGACTAACCAATAAGTTATTCGTTATTTTTCTAGTCGAATAAAGCATCGCGATGGGGAGCACGTTCGGCGAGCTGGGGTACGCGTGCGCGATAAACGTGGCGGTGCTGGCGGGCATGCTCGTGGCATACACGATTCTCTCCAAGCAGCCGCTCAACGCGCGGGTCTACTTCACCAAATGGTTCTCCCTCGACGACCGGGTGCGTGCCGCCGCTTCGCGCTGCCCCGCCGCTGCTCCGAAACCTCGCAGCCCTCGTAGGAGTTGAGTTCTCAAGCCGGCGAACAGGAGAAAATGCCGCTTTGATTCGAGTCTAGCATGTTGGATTCGCGTCTGCCCTGCCCGCATTGCCCGCTCCGTCGCTCCCCCCCCTGCCCCACGAGCCGTCTCGGCTCGTCCACGGGAAGCATCCCCCGGGCTCGCTGTGTGCCCGCCATGCCGCAACCCCGTGCCTGCTGCATCCCTGCGCGCCTCCCCGCGTGGCGTGCCATGCGGAGACGCGCGCTGTGGAGCGCACGCCGGGACTCAACGCGTCGCCGATGGCCCCTCACTGTACAACCATCGCCCATTCTCCCGTCGCATCTCACCACGGCCCTCCCTCTCTCCTGCCCCTGCCCCTCCCTGCCGCTCCCTGCCCCTCCCTGCCGCTCCCTGCCCCTCCCTGCCGCTCCCTGTCCCTCAATGCCGCTCCCTGTCCCTCAATGCCGCTCCCTGCCCCTCAATGCCGCTCCCTGCCCCTCAATGCCGCTCCCTGCCCCTCAATGCCGCTCCCTGCCCCTCAATGCCGCTCCCTGCCCCTCAATGCCGCTCCCTGCCCCTCAATGCCGCTCCCTGCCCCTCAATGCCGCTCCCTGCCCCTCAATGCCGCTCCCTGCCCCTCAATGCCGCTCCCTGCCCCTCAATGCCGCTCCCTGCTGACGGGGCACGTGAAGGGGAATGGGAGAAGCACGAGGCGGTGGAGGCGAGGACGTGAGACTGAAAGGCTACCGCCATCCCTCTCATCCCACCCACCCACCCCTCCCTCCCCCCCCGCCTCTCCTTCCCCTGCCCACGCCTTGTGTGGCAGGAAGCAGCGGAGAAGTACGAGAAGGTGAAGATGAAGGGCAACGTGGTGAAGCGCCGCCAGTGGCTCAACCTCTCGCTGCGCTCCTACCGCCACGCCTTCTCCTGGGTGGGCGTGGCCCTCGCCATGCCCGAGCGCGAGCTCATCGCACATGCTGGGCTCGACAACGTCGTCTTCCTGCACACGCTCAAGCTGGGGTGCGTGTGGGTGGCACACGCTCAAGCTGGGGTGCGTGTGGGTGGCACACGCTCAAGCTGGGGTGCGTGTGGGTGGCACACGCTCAAGCTGGGGTGCGTGTGGGTGGGCATGTGTGTCTCCCTGCGTTGTTCATCTGCTCTCGTGTCTGTCATTCATTCACCCTCCTTCCCTGCAGTGTTAGTTCATGCACCCCCTAGCAGATATCGCCGATGCACCTGTCACCCGCAAACCCCACTCCTCTCTCGCACTCTCGCTCCCCCCCTCCCCCCCAATCCCCTCCCTCCCTCTCAGCTTCAAGATCTTTGGGCCAATCCTGATAGTGGCGGCGGCGGTGCTGGTGCCGGTGAACTACCTGGGAGGGGGGCTGCAGCAGCAGGCGCAGAGCGACCCCGACCTCTACTACAGCGACATTGACATGCTCTCCATCGCCAACATCCCCAACCAGTCGTCTCTGTGCGTGCATCTCCAGCTCTGCCAGCATGCACGCCACGTCAGCATGCACACCACGTCAGCACGCACACCACGTCAGTCAGCATACACGCCACGTCAGCATATGCAGGGCGACATGTCGGTTGATGAGGTCAAGCGTGGTTTGCAGTCGCCCAGTGTGTGTGCAGTGCATGTCGTGGCGAGGTCATGGTTGCTTGCAAAGCATGGCTCAATGTTATTCAACATTCCCCGTGTACCACACACACCACACCTCCACACCACACCACCACACCACACCACGCCACACCACACATGCATGGGCGCGGGAGGCATTGGCAGGCTGTGGGTGCACGTGGCGATGGCATGGCTGTTCAACGCGTGGGCGCTGTACATGATGCGGTTGGAGCACCGCACCGTCGCTGACATGCGCCTCGACTTCCTTGCCGACCAGCAGCGCGCCCCCAACCAGTTCACTGTGAGCGCCCAACCAGTTCACTATGAGCGCCCAACCAGTTCACTATGAGCGCCCAACCAGTTCACTGTGAGCGCCCAACCAGTTCACTGTGAGCGCCCAACCAGTTCACTATGAGCGCCCAACCAGTTCACTATGAGCGCCCAACCAGTTCACTGTGAGCGCCCAACCAGTTCACTGTGAGCGCCCAACCAGTTCACTGTGAGCGCCCAACCAGTTCACTGTGAGCGCCCAACCAGTTCACTGTGAGCGCCCAACCAGTTCACTGTGAGCGCCCAACCAGTTCACTGTGAGCGCCCAACCAGTTCACTGTGAGCGCCCAACCAGTTCACTGTGAGCGCCCAACCAGTTCACTGTGAGCGCCCAACCAGTTCACTGTGAGCGCCCAACCAGTTCACTGTGAGCGCCCAACCAGTTCACTATGAGCGCCCAACCAGTTCACTATGAGCGCCCAACCAGTTCACTGTGAGCGCCCAACCAGTTCACTGTGAGCGCCCAACCAGTTCACTGTGAGCGCCCAACCAGTTCACTGTGAGCGCCCAACCAGTTCACTATGAGCGCCCAACCAGTTCACTATGAGCGCCCAACCAGTTCACTGTGAGCGCCCAACCAGTTCACTGTGAGCGCCCAACCAGTTCACTGTGAGCGCCCAACCAGTTCACTGTGAGCGCCCAACCAGTTCACTGTGAGCGCCCAACCAGTTCACTGTGAGCGCCCAACCAGTTCACTGTGAGCGCCCAACCAGTTCACTGTGAGCGCCCAACCAGTTCACTGTGAGCGCCCAACCAGTTCACTGTGAGCGCCCAACCAGTTCACTGTGAGCGCCCAACCAGTTCACTGTGAGCGCCCAACCAGTTCACTGTGAGCGCCCAACCAGTTCACTGTGAGCGCCCAACCAGTTCACTGTGAGCGCCCAACCAGTTCACTATGAGCGCCCAACCAGTTCACTATGAGCGCCCAACCAGTTCACTGTGAGCGCCCAACCAGTTCACTGTGAGCGCCCAACCAGTTCACTGTGAGCGCCCAACCAGTTCACTGTGAGCGCCCAACCAGTTCACTGTGAGCGCCCAACCAGTTCACTGTGAGCGCCCAACCAGTTCACTGTGAGCGCCCAACCAGTTCACTGTGAGCGCCCAGTTCACTATGAGCGCCCAACCAGTTCACTGTGAGCGCCCAACCAGTTCACTGTGAGCACCCAACCAGTTCACTGTGAGCGCCCAACCAGTTCACTGTGAGCGCCCAACCAGTTCACTGTGAGCGCCCAACCAGTTCACTGTGAGCGCCCAACCAGTTCACTGTGAGCGCCCAACCATGCCTCTCATGCTCCAATACGAACTAACTGCTGCCACCATTCTGTTCTCACCTTCATTCAGTCGCCTCCGCCTGGACCCATTCCGTTCCTTGCTTCTCCCCGCGCCCACAGGTGTTGGTGCGGCAGGTGCCGAAGCACCCAATCAAGACGGTGCCGGAGCATGTGGACCACTTCTTCTCAGTCAACCACCGCGGCCACTACCTGCTCACCCAGGTGCCAATTCCATTCCATAGCGGCTCATGTGTATTCCCACCAGCTCAATAGCATGTCCTATGTTACTATGCAGTGAGCTCACCGTACTGTGTGCCACCGCGCTCCACTTCTGAGTCGACTCACAAGTCACGTCGTTCCACGAGATATTGTGTACACGCGCGATGGAATTTGATTTCTACACGCGCCAAGTACCATGCATGCACCAAACAATCACGCTGACTGTGAACGTTGTACGGATCGGGAGAAGCGAGCGTATACGTACGCACTTGTAGATGGAGTTCAGATTTGCGCAGCAACATGACTCGACCTAGTGTACAATGCTCTCAGGGGGGCTCGCCTGGGGAAGAAGCGTCTGCAGCATGAGTGCCGTGGTTGTCTTTTTTAAGTTTGTTGGATTCTCAAAAACCAGTCCCTTGGTTCACGCCCATCCCACCCACCCGTTCCCTGCTCTCTCCACCACCACCCCGTCCAACCGATGCGGCACGGCAGCCAGTGTACAACGCGAACCGGGTGGCGCGGCTGGAGAAGAAGCGCGGCAAGCTGGAGAACAAACTCACAGAGCTGCACATCAAGCTCGAACGCTGCCCCACTAAGCCGCTCACCGTCCGGGTGAGAGCAGCGGGTAGTGCGGGCCGGGGTGTGGGTTGGAGAGGAGATGGGGGTGATTGTAGGGGAGGGTGGGGTCGGGATGTGTCTCACGCACGCACAGTGGGTGCCTGCATCCTTGTTGCATGCATACAACACAAGAACGGTTACACATCACGTCATGTCTGCACGTGTCTACGGTTTCTCCTCCTCCCGCATTGCTCAAGAGGGTAGGGCCTAGTGAGTTGACCCCATCTCCTCCTCACGTGCTGCTTTCCCACCGCACCCCTTCCCTCCCTCGCCCATTCCTGCGCATGTCTCTCCTGTGCATGTGCGTGTACGTGTGCGTGTCTGCGTGTGCGTGTGTGTGCATGTGTGCGTGTGCGTGTGCATGTGCGTGTCTGCGTGTGCATGTGTGTGTGTGTGTGCGTGTGCGTGTGCGTATGCGTGCGTGTGTGTGCATGTGTGTGTGTGTGTGCGTGTGTGTGCGTATGTGTGCGTGTGTGTGCGTGCGTGAATGGTTGTGCATGTGTGTGTGCATGTGTGTGCATGTGTGTGCGTGTGTGCGCATGTGTGCACATGTGTGTGCATATGTGTGCATGTGTGTGCATGTGTGTGCATGTGTGCGCATGTGTGTGCATGTGTGTGCATGTGTGTCCATGTGTGCGCACGTGTGTGCATGTGTGTGCATGTGTGCATGCGCGTGCATGCGCGCATGTGCGCATGTGTGCGTATGTGTGTGTGTGCATGTGTGTGCATGTGTGTGCATGTGTGCGCATGTGTGCACATGTGTGTGCATGTGTGTGCATGTGTGTGCATATGTGTGCATGTGTGTGCATGTGTGTGCATGTGTGTGCATGTGTGTGCATGTGTGCGCATGTGTGCGCATGTGTGCGCATGTGTGTGCATGTGTGTGCATGTGTGTGCATGCGCGCATGTGTGCGTATGCATGTGTGTGCATGTGTGTGCATGTGTGTGCATGTGTGTGCATGTGTGTGCATGTGTGCGCATGTGTGCACATGTGTGTGCATGTGTGTGCATATGTGTGCATGTGTGTGCATGTGTGTGCATGTGTGTGCATGTGTGTGCATGTGTGCGCATGTGTGCGCATGTGTGTGCATGTGTGTGCATGTGTGTGCATGTGTGTGCATGCGCGCATGTGTGCGTATGCATGTGTGTGCATGTGTGTGCATGTGTGTGCATGTGTGTGCATGTGTGTGCATGTGTGTGCATGTGTGCGCATGTGTGTGCGTGTGTGCTTGTGCAATAAAGCAGATGGGGTTCATGGGGCTGGTGGGGGAGAGGGTGGATGCCATACAGCACTACCAGGACAAGCTTGAAGAACTCTGTGACGAGGTGCGTGCCGTCACAAGAGCCTTGGCTGGGTCTCACATGCCTTGGGTGGGTGTGCCACGTGTCTTGGGTGGGTGTGCCATGTGCGTGGGGGGGTGGCATGTGCATGGGGGGTTTGCCATGGGCACGAGGTGAGAATGAGTGCTTCCTGCATTGCAGGTCACTCCATGGCATGCAGGTCGCTCCATGGCATGCAGGTCGCTCCATGGCATGCAGGTCGCTCCATGGCATGCAGGTCACTCCATGGCATGCAGGTCACTCCATGGCATGCAGGTCGCTCCATGGCATGCAGGTCACTCCATGGCATGCAGGTCACTCCATGGCATGCAGAGGGGAGTTCTTGGTGCAGCTTCGGGTCAAAGCTGGAGGAGGAGGGACGGACGGGGAGGGGAGGGAGGACCACAAGGAGGGAGGATCACAAGGAGGGAGGATCACAAGGAGGGAGGATCACAAGGAGGGAGGATCACAAGGAGGGAGGATCACAAGGAGGGAGGATCACAAGGAGGGAGGACTGTAGCACGCTGGGATGGTGTCTGGACGCGTCTACAAGGGGAGATGATGGGCGTGCACTGTGCGGGGTTGAAACGCCACAGTAAAAACCTTACCGGGGCGACACCTTTGCCTCCCACCTTCTGTCCTGTCATTTGATTCCCTTCCCTCTCCTTTCCTCTCCTCTCATGTCGTACCAAGTGATCTCCTTTCCACTCCTTGCCTACCTGTTCCTCTCCTTTACTCTCCTCTCCTCCCTTCTCCTCTCCTCTCTTCTCCTCTCCTCTCCTCTCCTCTCCTCTCTTCTCTTCTCCTCTCCTCTCTTCTCTTCTCCTCTCCCCTCCTCTTTCCTATTCCCCTCTCCTCCCCCCTCCTCCCCTCCTTCCCTCTCTCCTCTCCTCCCATCCCCTCAACCCCTTCTCATCAGATCATAACGGAGCGAGAGCGCGTGATAAGCGACCCAGCCAGCACCATGCCAGCGGCCTTCGTCTCCTTCTCCTCGCGTTGGGGCGCAGCAGTGGCGGCGCAGACTCTGCAATCAAAGAACAGCTCGCACTGGATCACGCAGTGGGCGCCGGAGCAGCGCGACGTCAAGTGGAGCAACCTGCCCATCCCGTACGAGCAGCTGGCCGTGCGCCGCGTGCTCGTGCTGCTGGCGGCGGCGTCTGTTGTCTTCTTCTACACCATCCCAGTGGGCTTCGTGCAGTCGCTGGCGAATCTGGACAACATCAGCCGCTACATGCCGTGGCTGCAGCCCATCCTCAGCATGTCCGTGCCCTCGCCCTCGCCCTCGCCCTCGCCCTCGCCCTCGCCCTCGCCCTCGCCCTCGGCCTCGGCCTCGGCCCACTACCCCACATGTCACCAATTCTCACATGCCGCATGCCTCCTTGCACGTCTCCTCATCCTCCTCTGCCTGCCCTCCCCTTGCCCCTCTGCCCCCCAGCCCCGTGGTGAACGCGCTCATCACCGACATCCTCTCGGGCCTCGCCCTCAAGCTCTTCATGGCGTTACTGCCCTACCTGCTCATCTTCCTCGCGTCCCTGGAGGGCCACGTGAGCCTGTCACAGATCGACCTGGCAGCCACCGGCAAGTACTTCTGGTTCATCATCGGCACCGTCTTTGTCACCAACGTCATGGGGGGCGCGCTCATGTCCGCCACCTACGACCTTTCCGAGCACACCACCAGGTAAGCCCTCCCTCCATCAGGTGCCTCCCCCCCACGTCCCTCCATCAGGTAGGGCCGAACAGAGAGCTCAACTTGGGTATAGCCTGGACGAACCTCTTCGACCTGGACGAACCTCTTCGACCTGGACGAACCTCTTCGACTTGGACGAACCTCTTCGACCTGGACGAACCTCTTCGACCTGGACGAACCTCTTCGACCTGGACGAACCTCTTCGACCTGGCCCGAGCCGTGTGGAAGGTGGTGTGTGGAGGCAAGTTGATTCAACGTGACATGAACCTCCCTCCTTGTCGGGGTTTAGGGTTCACTGAGAGGAGTGGTGACAGAAATGCTGGGGCACCCAGGAGTGGCAGGTCCGGCATGTGCAGCAGGAGTGGCAGGAGTGGCAGGAGTGGCAGGAGTGGCAGGAATGGCATGAGTGGCAGGAGTGGCACCCTCACTTCCTTCCTCCCCCCCCCCCCCCCCCCACCAACCTCCCACCCGCACGGGGCACAGCATACCGCAGATCCTGGGGGCGCGCATCCCCATGAAGGCCACGTTCTTCATGACCTTCACCATGGTGGACGGCTGGGTGGGCATGGGGGGAGAGGCGCTGCAGGTCTGGTACCTGCTGCTCTTCCAACTCAAGGTGCAATCCTCCCCCCCAACCCCACTTGTCAGTGTTCCTCTTATATTGCATCCATTCCTCCTTCTCTCACCCTTTTCGTTTCTTTCCCCCCTTGTATTCCCCCCCTTGTCTTTCCCCCTTCCCCGTTCCCCTTCACTTCCGGCCCTACTCTTTTCAATCTCATTTCCCCCTTCCTCTTACCCCACTTCTAGTGCCGTTCGCTGGTTTCTCTATTCTCGTCGTCGTTTTCAGCAGCATCCCACACTGTGCTGCGCTCCCAACTTCCTTGTTCCCCATTCCGCCCCGCTCACCCTGCGTCACTGTGAATCGCCCATGGGTGCGATGGCTGCCAGCGTTCCCTGCTCGTGCGCACGCCAGCCGGCAGGATAAAGCCCACACGCCGCACACCCCTTCTCTTTCTGCACTGCCTTCTCTAGTTTGAATCTTGCCGCCCCCCCCCCTCCCATGCTTCCCGATCCTCCCCAACCTTTCCTTGGCGTGGTGCGGCAGAGCTCACTGCTGGTGCGCACGCCAGCGGACAGGATAAAGGCCATGAAGGCACGCCCCCTCCGACTCGTCGACACGCTCTCGCAGGTACCACCTCCCCTTCCTCTCCCGCAGGTACCACCTCCCCTTCCCCACTGGTACCACGTTACCTTTCCCGTAGGTACCACCTCCCCTTCCCCGCAGCTACCACCTCCCCTTCCCCTCTCGCAGATGCCACTGCCCCTTCTCCTCTGCTCCCTCACTGCCCCTTCTCCTCTGCACCGCTGCCCTTCTGTTCCCACCCATGCTTCAAACAAGTCCTCTCTGTAGATGCATCACCCCACCCTCCTCTCAGCACGCCATCCCCCCTTGTACCCCCTCACCTCCCCCCCCCCACCAGGTGGAGCTCTACTTCCTGCTGCCCTTTGTCTACTGTGTCACCAACCCGCTCTACCTGCCCTTCGCCCTCGCATTCTACATCCTCGCCTTCGTCATTTACCGCAACCAGGTCGGCCATTTTTGTCATCTATTGCAACCAGGTCGGCCGCTTTTGTCATTTACCGCAACCAGGTCACGCATTATTGTTATCGACCGCAACCAAGTCAACCAGTTCTGTCACCTTCTGCAACCGGGTTGGCATCAATTTGTCTTTCGAAGCAACCAGGTCCTCTTATGTCATCTACAGCGAGAGGGTCACTCTCTGCTGTTATGCACCTCAATCTCACAAGCCCATCTGCTACTGTGAGGGGCTGCGTGGGCTGGGCTGGAGCCACTATGCCCCTGCCTAGGAGGTCAGGCTCACGTCACCGCAGTTCCCCTCTTTCCTCCTCCGTTTGGCATGTTGTGGGTCGTGCCATCCACTCAACCAGCATCTATGCCATCCACTCAACCAGCATCTCTGCCACGTACCATGACGTGGCAAGAACCTACCCGTGCGCCCCCTCCCCTCTCCCCCCCCCCACCCTTCCCCTGCCCCCACGGCAGATAATCAACGTGTACTGTCCACGGTACGAGATGGCGGGGGCGTTCTGGCCGCACTTCCACGCGCGGCTGGTGGCGGCCATGCTGGTGCAGCAGGTCACGCTGGGCGGCATCCTCTCCCTCAAGGACGCGCCCTCGCAGGCGTGCTGCCTCATCCCACTGCCGTTCGTCACCATCATCGTGCACTGGGCGTTCATCCGCGGCCAGTTCCACAGCACCTTCTCCAAACTCGCCCTCGAGGTGCGTCCATCCCCTGCGCTACAGTGGTGTGTGGGACCACTTCTGAGGCACTGCAGACTTGTCACGCTCATCGTGCACTGGGCGTTCATGCGCGGCCAGCTCTCCAGCATCTTTCCAAGCTCGCTCTCGAGGTGCGCGTGTCTGCTGCATGACAGCAGAGGTGGGAGAGCACTGGTGAGGCGCCTCAATGCTGCCGTGCCGTGCACTGGGCTGTTCTTTAGCCCACGGCCACTTCTCCAGTACCTTCTCCAAGCTCGCTCTCGAGATGAGCCCTCCTGTGGGTCGGTACAGGTAGCCCTGCGCACTGGGTGCAGTGCAGGCTAGAAAGCTGGTGATTGTGTGGAAGCACAGCACATCCGCCATTCAAACCCTCTACCCCTATTCCTCCTCGCTGCCACTCGCACTCATTGCAAGGACACCATCGTCACACGATACACTGCAACACCATCCACCATCCACCATCCACCATCCACTCCCTGCCTCCCTGCCTCGCTGCCTCCCTGCCTCCCTGCCTCCCTGCCTGGGTTTGTTTCCCCAACCTCCCACACCAGAGGAGGCGAACTGGAAGGACACGATAGACTGTACAGTGAAACCCAACGAGGACCCTCACTGGTCGTTGCCACTCCCACTTGCTGCAACGCCCTCGTTTCTACCATCCACTCCCTGCCTCCCTACTTCCTTGCCTGCCTCCATACCTCTTTGCCTACCTGCCTGCCTGCCCCGCTGCTCTTTGTGTGCTTACTCCCCACGCTGCCAGGAGGCCAACAGGAGGGACACGATAGACCGCACGGTGCACCCCAATGAGGACCCGTGCTGCACTCCTTCCTGGCACTCATTGCAACGACACCATCATCACCCCATCCACTGCAACACAAGGCCCTCATTTCCACCATCCACTCCCTGCCTCCCTGCCTGCTTCCCTGCCTCCCGCCTGCCTGCCTGCCTGCCTACCTGCATACCTCCCTGCAATCCCCCACAACACAGGAGGCGAATCGCAAGGACACAATAGACCGCACGGTGCACCCCAACGAGGACCCGCACTCCTTCCTGGCACGCGCCTACCTGCACCCCTCGCTGCAGTCCGCCTTCACCATGCTGGATGGCGATGAGGAGGAGGGTGGTGCAGGCGGTGACGACTCCTCTTCCTCCTCCTCCGATGATGATAAGGACGGGGATGAAGAGGGTGGCGGGAAGAAGTCAAAGCATGCCGACCGGCACGCACAAACTCGTCTTGTGCCGGTGAAGCGGCATCCATTTTCCAGCAGTGCGCAGGCCTCTCCTGCTGTGCGAATGGGTTCGGATGGGTTGGAAGCGGTGGCGGGCACAAGCCCTCCTGCACACCTCCGTCCCAGGAGTGTGTCAGACGGGCCAGGGAGTTCAGCTTCAGCTGCTGCAGCTGCCGTGTCTGCAGTGACCTCCGCTGCTGCAGCTGCGGCTTCTGCTGCCTTTGCCGCCGCTCGCAGTGCAGCCAGCAGTGGCGCTGCTGCCTTCAGTGCTGCCAGCTCGGGCCGTGTGGCTGCTGATGCTGACGCCAGCACCCACACACCCCATGGCATTCCACCTGCCAGCCGTGACCGGTCCAGTGAGGCCTCGCCGTACCACTCATGTGAGCTCGTCTCAGTTGTTGTCGACGGTCCCGAGGACGTTTCCCAGAACGTTCCTCTCTCCACCTCTGCAGCGCATCCTGTGGGTGATGCGGTGGTGCAGGGGGGAGCAGCAGCAGCCAGTGCGGGGATGACAGGTGGCAGCCGGGGGGAGAGGAAGCCGTCGCCGCAAACAGCAGGGACAGAGCCGCTCTTGGCGGGCGGAGGTGGGGATCGGGGTGGGGAGAGCAGTGGGATCGGAAAGGCGGTTGGCGTGCCCGTGTTTAGATTATGACCGCAGTGAGCAGCCTGCTGTGCGTTATCGGAATAAGCATCAGAAGCAGCAGGTGGAGCAGCTTTGTGTGAGGCGTGTAGGGCCTGTCTTCATCTCTTCCACCACGCTGTCTCCACTGCGTTTGGCTCTCCCCGTTACCGGTACCTTTGTTGCACCCTGCACTGGCCAGACTTTGCTGTAGATCATTCAAGATTGCCCCCAGCTCTTCCCTTTTGCTTAAACCCCTTATTCACTTCTGGGAAGTCCTACTGCTACTTGCACCATTCTTGGGTTTGTAGTACCGTTGTAATTTAATCTATGGAAATAAGCCATGTATTGAATTCTCAACAATCATACTTATGTTGCAACAGTCTACCTACACTAAAGAGGTACACTGACATCAATTTACAGTTGTATCCAGATCTGTTGTGCTTGTTCAGCCAGTCTTCGCCAGCCACCCCTCGATGTTCGCTCGAATGTGAGAAAGTAGCGCCCTTCGCGCGACACCCTCGACAGCTGCTGCTTCCTTCGATCCAACGGTTCCAGGCCACGCACAGAGCACGCCCTTTCCTGCCGCGAACGCCCTTCGTTGCTCGTCGGAGCTCAGCAGAGTCCGGGCTTGCGCTCCGCGGAGAGATGGTCGCAACCGCAAGCAAGCCGCGCGTGGAGCGCCATTCCGCCTCAACGGCATGTTCGGCGCGCGACGCAGCCTGCACACGCTCTTCTTTTTGCGGGACGACTTCTGCGACGGAGCCGCGCGAGAAAAAGCCCTCGCACCTTACCTCCCTCCCACTGCCCCAACATTCTATACAATCACACCCGCCGTCGCGGGCGCATTTCTCCCCTCCTCCGCGTGCGCGCACCCCTTCACCTTCCGCACGATACGTCCGCCGAAGGCGTGCAGCAGCAGCCAGGGGTGCGAGAGCACCTTGTTGGCGGACGGTCGTCGCCGCGGGTCTCTCTCCAGCATGCACCGAATCAGCCCGCGCGCCTCCGCCGACACGCGCGTGCCCGCCCACGCCGCCGAATTTTCTCCCAAATCCAACCGCCCATTCACCACGCTGTCCAGTATCCCCTGATCGTCGGGGCCCCAGAAAGGTGGAGAGCCGGTGAGGAGGATGTGAAGCACGACGCCGAGCGACCAGACGTCGGCGGAGAGGCCGTATTGGCCGGAAATCACCTCGGGCGCCATGTAGTACGGCGACCCCGCGGGCCCCGTCGTCCACTCGCCGCGATCCAAGGGGACCGCGAGACCGAAGTCCGCGAGTTTCACGGAGTGGTATGAGCGGTGCTGGTGTTTGGCGATCGAGGGTTGCGATTGCGCCGGGTTTTCCGCCTGGTCCGACGGTGTTCTTTCGGGTAGGAGCGGGGAGGTGGAGAGGAGGATGTTTTCGGGTTTGATGTCGCGATGCATCACGCCGCGGGAATGGCAGAATGCGACGGCCGACGTCACTTGCATGAACACCTGCGCCGCGTCGCGCTCGCTGAATCGCCCGCGTCTCGCGATTTCGTCGAAGAGATCGCCGCCGTCGCAGAGTTCTGTAACCATATACACGTCGCTGTCGTCTTCGAATACCGCGTGCAGCCGCATCACGCCTGGATGACCCATTGCTTTCTGCAGAAGGCGCACCTCACGACGCACGTCCTCTATATCATCCGCTTCGATTAGCGTCGCCTTGGATATGGACTTGCAAGCGTATTGCATCCCCGTTGATCGGCACGTGCATCTTCGCACGGTTCCGAATTTCCCCGTCCCCAGAATTCTGTCGTCGATTTCATAAAACTCATTCATATGTTGACTCGCCCCTGGAAATACGTAATGGGATACCGCAGTGTGCGAGGCGCGCGCCGTGCCGCGGCCCCTTTTCAGTGGACTACTGGAAGTGTCGAACTCGCCGTCAAGACCATTTGAATAGGCTTTTCGTTTCCTCGAGTGGCAGCAGCACGTTTGGTTCCGGCGATGGTCTTGGCATGGCGCGGACGCCACCTGATGGTAATCAGCAGAAGTCGAACCCATGACGATCAGTGGCGGGAAGAGATGGTGACAAGAGACGGTGAAACTAACTGGTGGGATGTCTGTTTAGCGATTGTATTAGCTAACTAAATGATGGCTGAGGAGAAGGAAGGATCGCAAAAGCATAGGTGATGGGAGCAGCAGAAGTACTTGTTGGGCTGAGATGGTCAATCCGTTCCGGATTGGCCAGCCGGGTCGAATGAGGAACGCGATGGAACGCGTATTGGTGACGAGGCTGTGTGATGTGGAATGGATGGGGAATTGGGAACGCGATGCTCGAGTCGTACAGCTGAGCCAGCACCATCACCGTTCGATCAAGGGATCCCGATGTGACTCCGACGAGCAGCGGAATAATCGCACGGATTCAAGACTTGTTTGGGGAATGTCCTCCCAGAGGGAGCGGGTGTCACGGTTGCGAAAAGTTGTCCTTTCACGGATGGTATTTTTTGATGGATGAAAACAGGCGAATGCTAGCGGTTAACGCGGAGACCGAAGAGCAAACCTTATCGCTAGGGTGTAATTTCGTGAGTGAAGGCGAGGACAATAATGTGGCGAAAAATCGAGGGCGACATCAAATCAATCTGCGATTCGATGAGGCACTTAGGCAGCAATGTGACCCTCCTTATCGGACGGTGGAGCATATGTGACGGTAACGGGTTGAGCTTTTCCGCCCCACATCTCGTTTGACATCCAGCCGTGAGCGCCTGACATGGACTGGCTCTGAGAAGGCGGCACTTTTGACAGGATCTGGCTGAGGCAACAATAATTGCGGAATCGTGTCCTTGAAGTCAACCCAGCTTAAAGCAATAAATGAAAAGCCAAAACACTTCTTGGGATGTTATGACTAAATTCTGTGCTAATTTAATGTTACAGCTCGTACAACCCCAACGTTTGGAAGACCAGGCTCAGCCCAAGTACTGCGCAATCCAAGGCTGCCTTGCATCACTTTAGAATTGGCGCAGTCACACCTAAGCAAACCTCTACTTCCAAGGTCCCAATTTTCTACATCACAATGCTATATCTGGTAAGGTTATTATTATATGAGTAATACTCTTAACCATATGTCAATCTTGATATTGCTGCTGCGATCGTAAGAGATCGTAACCAGGATCACCTCAGGAAGGTTCGCACACTTCTAGTTTAGTGGTGGTGGGCCCTTGACCTCAATAGCAGAGTGAATGTAAATGCTTGAGATAATAAAAACATGCAGTACAAGGAATATAAATAAGAGTACAGAGGAATACGAAACGACCTAGCTAGCCATGTACTCTAAGGGGTACATTCCCTTATTACATCGAATCCAACCATGTGACTCCGAGTGGTTACGAAACTATTCGGGCAGAATCCTCGCCACTGCTGCTGCCTGATGCTGTCTGCCTGACGGTCCAGATGCTCTTTGTAACCGTCTGTCCCTTCGCATTACTTCTGCCTTTTCGTATTCACTCTTCGATACTGCGTGCTTCGGCTTTGCTACGGTGAGGAGTGACCAATAGTGTTATCACTAACCACTATTCGTAACACCCCCCTTCACTCCTGGCCGTAGCGAGCATTGACCCGCTTGACTACCCCGCTGAGTTCGGAGCAGTGCTGGTACTGCTGACGCGGCAGCTTCTTCGTGAGGAAGTCTGCTGCCATGTCACCCGTTGGGCAGTATGTCAGGTCAACCTTGCCCTTGTCAACTTCGTCTTTGACGAAGAAGTACCGCAGTGCGATGTGCTTGGTGCGGTTGACGAAGCCAGGTTTGTTCGCGATCCTGATCGCGCTCTGATTGTCGCAGTGCAGGCGAAAGTTCGTTGAGGCCGGAATTTTCGCTTCCTGCAGCAGCTCCTGAAGGTAGAGGCCTTCGCGAACTGCTGCTGTTGCTGCGATGAATTCAGCTTCCGCCGATGACAGGGCAACCAACTCCTGCTTCTGAGAGTTCCAGGAGATGGGGCCGCTGGGCTCGAGGCGAAAGAGGAACCCTGTCCTGGACCGTCGATTGTCAGGATCAGCGGCGTGATCAGCATCCACGTAGCCGACGAGGCTGAAGGATGTGGTTGGGATGGTGGAATAACTGAGCCCGACATTGGGCGTGGAGATGAAGAATTGAAGGGCTCGCTGAAGATCTGAAAGATTCTCAGCCGTTGGTTTGCGTGAGTACTGAGCCAACTGGCTCGCAATGTAGGAGAGATCGGGCCTGCAGGTGACAGATGCGAAAAGCAGGCATCCCAACTGCTGCTGGTAAGTGTGAAGCCCAGCAGGGGACAGGGCTTTGTTGTCAGGCTTGTGGTTGGGTCCTGGAGTGCGGTAAGGGGTGGAGAGTGGTGCAGGCTGTCAGAATGTTGTATTTGTCTAGCCTGCAGTGGGGTGCTCTATAGCGAGTACAGCCCAATCTAGGGTTTCCTATATGTACTCAACTGCTTGCTAGTGAAACCCCTCCTTTCTTCATTCTTACTTTCTACTGCTAGTTCTGACATGCTATCAGAGCAGGTCGATCCCCTTGGGTCGATCCTCTGGGTGGGCCCACCACCTCACTGCTTCCGCTGCTACTGCTACTCTGTGTGTTGCACGCCCCGTGGCGTGCGACGGATTTTTCATCCCGCCGCGCGCTCGGAGCGTGCGGCGGTTTTCTGCCCGCCGTGCGCCCCGAGGCGCGCGGCGGCTTTCTGCCCCGTCACTCCGCGCGTCGCTCCCGGGAGGCGCTGCGACGGGCGACGGGGACCCGCGCGTCGCCCCCCGTCGCCCGTCGCGGCCTGCGCGACCTGCGTAGGGCCCGCGCGCGGCCCGTACAGCCTGCGCGCGGCCCGTACGGGCTGCGCCAGGCCCGCGCGCGGCCCGTACGGGCAGCGCCAGGCCCGCGCGCGGCCCGTACGGACTGCGCCATGCCAGGGCGCGCCTCGGGCCGCCCGCACGCGGTTCGTACGGGCTGCGCCAGGCCCGTGGGCGCCCTGTTTTCTCTGCCCCTGCGCTGCCCGCTGTCCCCCGTGCTTCTGACGGCGCCCCACCCCTGCTGCTGCCCGTTCTCCTGAATTAGGGTTTGGGGGTGGGGGGTATGGGGGTTGAATTGCTCAATCGTTCCGTCAGCTCCTGTCTTCACACGGAAGACCCATTTGCCGGAGAGGATCCTTCTGCCCTTCACTGCTGCACGGTCGACGAGCACCCAAGTGTCGCGCGACTCAAGCGCCCGAATCTCCGCATCCATTGCTTCGCGCCACTCCTTGCTGTGTGGGCCTGTGAGAGCTTGTCGTGGGTTCTTATGCTCGATGATGCGCGGAGCAGTGAAGACGGCAGCGTGCAGTCCCAGGAGTTGAAGGCCAGTGATGGTGCTGTCATGGCGATGTTGGGTGACGACTTCCTGCACGTCGTCATCGTCGCTTTCTGGTTCAGGCGGTGCTGGTGGTGCTGTGTCTCCGCCACTTTCGCTTCCTCCTGCTGCGCCTCCTGTTGCGCCCGCTCCTCCTTCTCCTGAACCATCGTCGTCGTCGTCGTCACGACGATCGCCCCTTGTGAACTCCCCTCTGGGATCCTGCTCCAGAATTGCCGCTGCAGCTTCGTCCTCAGGTGAAGCGTAGCTGTGGCCCTCGTTGGCGTAGACGCGGTTTGCGTTCGTCTGCTCGTCCTCACGGAATTGCTGCAGAAACAGCCGCTCGTAGAAGATAACGTCACGCGCATTTTTGATTTTCTGGCTTAGGAGATCCAGGATGATCCATGCCTTGTGTTCGTGGCTGATGCCGAGGTGGATTCCCCAGCGCGCGCAGCTCTTGAACTTCCCGATGGTTGACGTTGGCGGTCGGTATTGAACCATGCACCCCCAGACGCGGAGCATGGAGGTGTCCCCTTTTCTTCCCGTCCATTTCACATGCGGCGAGGAGTTGCCGGTGATTGCGGTGGTTGACAGCAGGTTGTGCACCCGCACGACGTGGTGCATCGCGTAGGTCCAGTAGATCGGCGGGAGCTTCGCCTGCTGCATTAGCGCCCGCACCTTTGTCATGAGGGTGCGATTCGTGCGTTCTGCTACGCCCTGCTGCTGGTGCGCGTAGGGGAGAGAGATGTGATGCTCGATCCCCTTTTGCGCGGGGAAATCCTGCAGTTCCTTGCTCCTGAACTCCGCTGCGCCATCAGACTGCCAGATCTTCAATTTCTCCCCAGATTGCCGCTGCGCGTGCGCCAGCCACAGGCGGAATGCTTCGTAGGCTCTGCTGCGTGCTTCCACGTTTACGACCCATACGTGGCGTGTTCCGGCGTCGACGAAGGTGAGTGTGTAGAGCTCGTCGTTGATGCCGCAGTGACCTACGTTGAGGAAATCACTGTAAACCTTCTCCAGCTTGGCGTAGCGATTGGTTCCTGGGTCGAGTAGGGGGAAGGGCTGGTGACTCAGCGCGGCTTCGGGGCAGACGGTGCAGCTGCGCGGGTGAGTTCCTCCTCTCACTTCGGAGCCATCAGGGCGCAGCAGCGCGCTCGGTGCAAAGACGCCGGCTTCGATGCAGTTCTTTAGAGTCGTTCGCGAAGGGTGACCTAAGCGCTGATGCCAGATGGCGTCGTCGGCGCGGAATCCGGAGGTGCGCATGTAGCGCGCAAGTGCAGCTGCGGGGTCTTCGTTAGGTACCGGTGCAGGTGTGGGAGCTGCTTCCTCATTCTCTTCTTCTTCCTCGTTCGCCGTCGTTAGCATGAGGGCGAGAAACTCTCTGTCGCGGATGATGGAGTAGGGGATA